CATACTTTTAGGAGGAGTTCAGTGACTGCAGATACGGCCGGCTGCTGCCGTTGCCTTTTGTCTGAGGCGAATCGCTTAGCATGCGCCGCTGGTCGTCGCTGTCTACCTACCAACCCAAAAACAAAAAAAAAAAGTAACAAAAAGAAAAACACCACCCAACCACCTCGGCTTTTGGCCATTGTTTTGTACCGGGCTCGCAACACACACTTTTGCCGGCTCCTATGGCCAGCAAATATTGACCATTTGCCTTTTGCCAATTTGTTTGCATTTCAGGAAAATATTTTCATTTTCAATGCTCGTTCGCTCGCTCGACTCTGCCGGTTAGCCATATTGAAAATTAAACTGCAAACTAGTTGCAGTCGTGTGCTTGACTATGTGTGTGTGTGTGTGTGTGTGTGTGGAACATGGAAAATTGCCTTGATTTCCCAGGACATGCCTACGGTGAATTGTCATTTTTAATTTATTTTGTTGCCGGCATTTATACAATAAATATCTCAATGTGTCCACAGCGTTCGGCTCTCTCTCTCTCTCTCTTACCAATTCCCTATTCCTCTTTTCGTTTTGAGGCTTGGCTGTTGTTTGCAATTGCTTTTTGATTATCTCTATTTGCTGTTTGTGTTATTGAGCTACGTTCTGGCCATGGCCAAGTGAAAACAAATTGAGTTCTCCGTTAAGCGTCGAAAATAGTTTTCAACTATCTACTAGCTCCCGCTATTGGCCAACTCTTCCGCTCATGTGTGTGAGCTGGAGTGTTTGCGTGTGCATGTGTGTGTGGAATGCAAAGTGCCAAAGCTTGTAGTGCCGTTAGTTTGCATTAAATTTTTTGGCAACTGGCTCTTTCTCTCTCCCTCAGCCGTGCCGTTCAAAAATGGCCAAAAGCGGAGAGTGTCAGGAATTATGCTCGCCAGCGTTGTTGTTTTCCTGTTTTCTACATTTTTATTCGGCAACATTTTCCGCTTATGTTTTATGTAAAGCCTTAAATGGAGTTTGCACTGCACGATGTGGGAAGAAAATAAGGCTGAAAAGTTCGCAGGACATGCAATTTGTGTGTTCCAAAGTGGCTTATCATAAGTCCCACTCACTTGCTGGGAAATTGCAGCCAGTAACGCCCTCTAGAGTTTATGACAATGAAGAAAAAGCAATTTTTGGAATATTTTTTTTAACTACTTGCTGCTATTTAGAATGCTTACAAGATTATGCATGAAATGCAGATATATACCTATATTTTCACTTGCTTCCAAAATACTGAATTTATCGAAAGTTCGCTCAAGCAATACTAAACGTAATTTAAACCTTAAAGCCATAGCCATTCGCTTTCCCCCATATCATAGAAAGCCGCGCGAACATTTTTCATTCGTATTATACCAACTCTTTGTCTATTTTCGCAAGGGCTCTAGACGCGATCGCATTTTTTCTTCTTTTAATGCATACCAAAGTCGAACCACTAAACAGTTTTAAATTTGCATAAAAATCCGTTTTATTAACATTCAAAGGCGATTCCTATCGCCGCTAAATTGAAGAAAAGTAGCTAGAGTTGTTCGGAAAAAAAAGGGAAAAATGGGCGAAAGGAGTTCCGAGCAAACAGAGACCCTGAGGGAAAATGCCATGTAAATGCTCTCAGGGCAAAAGCTGTAGCTGTAGCTGGAGAAAAAAAAAAAAAAAAAAGTGTAAGAAAAATTCCTTTGCACTCAACAAAGAAGAAATAAATAACTTTCGAGTCAGATTAGCCAACTTGTCACGAAATGCAAAATGACATTTAATACCCAACGACTTGGACGAGGACGAGGACATGGACTTGAGTGCTCCCAGCTTGCAGCTCCCAGCACCCAGCTCCCAGTAGCTGATGGCCAACAGCTGCGTACCCAGAAGAGGGTTTAACTGGCGGGGCAAGGATGGCCAAGGAGCTGGGCTCCCAAGACGCATGTCGACCAAATGGCAATGCGATACGCGACGATATACATGACTGGACCTGACTTGCACTTGGCATGAAAACATGAGAAATTCCTTAGCCATTGGCCACCGCCATCCCGCTTGCGTTTGCTTTTCCACAATGGCATGCCAGAACGCTAGACGACAGGCGACATTGTTTCGAATGGCCTGGCAAAAGAAGAAAAATGGCTCTGAAATGCCATCACTGCCATCATGCCACCCGAAAAAGGATGAAAAAAAAGGGAGGAAAAATAGAAAAGGGGAGTAGGATAGCGAAAAAGTAATCATTGCAATTTAAAGCGGATAATCTGCATCAGACCAAAGCTGTGAAACAAGAAGCGTTGCGAAAAAAGGCGCCGAGTGCTCTAAAAAGGGTTCCACTTTCAGTTGCACAACGCGAACGCCGAACGTTCGCAATGCAAATATGCTGCGGCGCCCCCGTATTTTCCCCCCATTTTCCGCACCTCCTGCGTGCGTGAGTGGACACCATTTGCAATTTTCGCACTCGCTTTTCCGCTCTCCCTCGCTCGAGTTCGTTCCTTTTTTTTTCGCACGCCCAAGGAGCGAGGCAGTCATGCAGATTACAATCGAAATGACATGAAAATGTTTAGTGTGGCGTGTGGAAGGAAAAAATGGGGTGGGGGCACAAAAAAAATGAAATCGCGGTGGCAATGTCAAGCGGCAGCAGCAAGAAAGTGTTGCATATCTACGGGCGCCAGCCACAAGAAAGAAATTGCCCCGGGAAATGGGAAAGTGGAGGTGGAAAGTGGCAAGCGCTTGGCACTCAGAGATAATGTCTGTCCTACAGCCGACGGAGCATCTCTCCTGGACTGTAAGAATAATGTCTTATTTGATTGTGGCCAGCAAATGCAATTTAAATTTGCTTCCACAGCCCTTGAAAGAGCGGCTGAAAGGCAATCGGGGGAATGGGGGGAATGGTTAAAACGAATGCCAAATCGATTTATAGATTCATCAATAACGTAACCCTCCGCTTATGCACACTGATAATTCAGTTAGCAATTATGTAGGTAACATGACCAGATGGCCATCAGGGCGCAATTAACCCAGTTAGGAGGGCAACAAGTGAGCTATTTGAAAAAAATTACATTATCCTTTCCCCTTTATATCGAATTAAAGCTACAAAATAGAGGTGTACAGATACAGATACAAGAACGGTGACTGTTGTTGAATAAACTCAATCCAAGCATTAAATTACTGCCAATGGCGCCAATAAGCACAAACAAATATGCCAAAGTGTATTCCTGTTTGTGTGTTCTGAAAGTCCTGGCAGTTGCTGATTGAAAGTTTCGCACAGAAGGATGGATAAAAATATTTGCTTGTCGTCAATAAATATTCTGTGCTGTATTTATTGATCAAAATTGCGAGACAACAATGCGAAGCATTTCGTTGGCTAACCAAATATTTACCCATCGAATGATGGGAGTATACAAAGTATTTGGCAATTAATTAGCCTAATTTATGGCTTTGCAACGAGTGACAACAAGTGAAACATAGTTTTAAGTTTATTAAAAACTTGCTCTATCCTCGCCTCGCATTTGTCAATATGCTAGCAAATTATTTCGAAAATCATAACAAAGCAAATAAAAATAAACACAAATGTTGTTCGGCAACAATTATTTCTGAGTTAGCGCCAGTTGTTGGGCGCCATAAATCTTGTACAGTTTTCGGGGCGTCATAAATTGCAAATGCCATCAACAGCAGTGGCAACGCCAGGAAAAAAGGGAAAGAACACGAAAGGAAACCGAAAACGAGTTGGCATTTCCCTGCAACAATTGCCGTCCCTGTCTTCTCGTCCTGATCCTGCTATTGCTGTCCTCGTCTGACCGGGCCAAACAATCAATTTATGCACACACAATTTTCGTCTTTTACATATAAATTTCGAATTTTTTGTATCCCCTTTTACACTCATTTTGCTGGTCGCCTTGCTGTATGCAAATATTTGTTAACTTCATTTGCTCTGAATTAAATATAATTTACATGCATATTTGTTTGCCCGGTTTGGCCTGCCCTTGTTTCGGTGGAAAATCCGTTTTCCACATGCCATGTTGCATGCATCATGGTGGCCCCTTCTCTTCGATCCCTTGGTCATTATAATTATTGTTGACATTTCAGCTTAAAATGGAGAGTGAGCCGCGTTAATACGGCGCCACAATTACACGTGCTAATGAAGTGAAATTTTACTTTTCGCAATTAAAAACGAATTTCGATCGCGCATACAGCCCGAAAATATGTTTGGAAAAATACGATGCCATGTTTCATGAACATTTCGGTCTCCAGATTTTCCCTGAAGCAGAATTGCAATGGGCTTTGCATGCAGTTAATTGGTTTGGCTTTATTTTTGGGGCTGGGTAAAATGTGTTGACAGCACGAACATAAAGTTATTCAGGACTCTGAGTCATGCCAAGGATAACACAAATTACATGGGAGCAAGTTTACTACAGGCAGTGTAACTCCCCTAAAATGGCTCGCTATTATAACAACTTCGATGGGAAACGCGATTGCATTACACAAGTTCGCGATAGTGTTAATAACACATTACGTCAGTTCTTTTACAGCATTGGATACTGTAAGCATTATCCAGCAAATACATATAAATGATACATTTATTTGTTGCACTTCACCATTATTTAAGCAATTAAATAACTAACTAGAGCAATAAAATCAAATGAAACTGTGTTTGCTCTTGCAAATCGAACCGGAAAGGACTCCGGCATTAAGGTTAAGCACAACAATTTGTGTTAATCAACACCGGACCCGCAACCAGGAGTAAATGGCATTAACATAAATTTGTTTCTAGTAATTTATTTAGTGCGACAAAAGCACTTCCTGGGCAACACGCTTACTAAATTGCCACTGCCAGCAATCGAAACTGAATTATGGCCAACTGCCGATGTGGATGGCCCACAGATTTAACCCCCAGCTGGCTGTCAGTCGGGGGAAATTTATGAAGCACTCTCTCTCCTAATATATACATATTATGTGTACATAAAACGCTGACTGACTAGGTAGTGAAAAAATTTGCTAAGCATTTCCTTTGAATTTTCTTGCAGGGCCGCTGTAATCGTGATAAACCGCCGTGCAAATACTTTCATCCACCACAGCATCTGAAGGATCAGTTATTGATAAATGGACGCAATCATTTGGCCCTCAAGAATGCACTGATGCAACAGATGGGCATCGCGCCCGGTCAGCCGGTCATATCCGGCCAAGTGCCAGCCGTGGTAAGTGCCGCTCTAATACTTTAATTGAATCCCCCGTTTCCCTGCCTTTCCACTGGCCTTCAGTCCGAAAATATGAATATTTATAAGCGAGCTCCTCCTCCTCCACCACGACCATGAATATCCAAAATACCAAACAGAGTAGAAAAAGAAAAATCGAGAAATTCAAAGTGCGCGAAAATGAGTCAAAGAGTGAGAAAGAGGAATGTTTTATTCATGCAGAGGGGGAATATTCCGCTTTATAACAAATCGAAAATTAATTCTCAAATAATTTGCGACATGGTTTTTGTGGATTTGCAGCTAAACGACAGTCATCATTAGGGCGAGGGTTTTTATTTATTTGTACTTTTTGCTGGGTTCCTGGGTGCTGAGTGGGTAGAGACGAGATGGGCAAAGAGTGCCCATGTTGATTGTTGAAAAATGCATGAATTTTCATTAGAGCCGGGGCTTGGGGTTCAAAAAGGTTTACGAGTGCGTGCCAGGCATAATTTGTGCCCAGGGGTCAGTTAATGGGCAGTGTGAAGCCTTCAATGGGGTGTCGAATCATGGCTTTCGGATGGGGATAGGCCATAAATAAAACAGATTTAAAAGAGGACTTCATTATAGCTGGCTGGAATGCCTGATAGATGTTTTACGAGGCACGGACTGCTGAGCCTGAAAAAGTTGGTTTTAATATATTCATCACTTATATTAACTTGATAGAGATCGATTAAGCAACCTCGACATTATCCACTTCCAAACCTCTGAGCCTTTAATGAGTTCTGATGAATGCTACTAATGGCCTAATGACCGACTACCCTCTTGCAGGCAACAAACCCCTATCTGACCGGCATTCCGGCCAACACGTACAGTCCGTACTACACAACGGGACACCTGGTGCCCACCTTGCTGGGTCCGGATCCCGTGACCTCCCAACTGGGACCCGTGGTGCCCCAAACAGTGCAGGTGGCCCAGCAGAAAATACCACGTTCCGACAGATTAGAGGTGAGTTTCGGTCTGATGCCGGCGACTATATATATATCTCGATATATGTTTATGTATCCAATGAAGTCAATTTAACGCGATTTTTTTACGCTTACCTTGTGTTTATTAAATTAACGAAAGTTTTTTACGTTCCTATGTTTCCTTTCGTGGCATGTATTTATGTATTTATATTTCTAATTAGAATTAATATTAAACTACGTATACAAATATTGCGAACTAAAAAACGAAAACATTGTACAGAGTTTTGAGTTCTTTTGAGTTTGCCAAAAGATCAAGCTGAAATTGCGACCAAAATCCACTGTATAATTCGCCAATAACCCGAAAATGATTCGACGTTTTGACACACATTCGTATTTGTCTAACACCGCCAAATTGAAACCAAATATAAAGACACCCAATCTCGATGTTCTCTTCTCTTCTTTTCATTTCCTTACATCTTTATTATCTATACAATATTATCGAATTAGTACGGATCGATAAATGAGTCGATCGCACAATATTGCAGTTTGGCCTAGCAGCTGCTTTTCAGAAGCTTTATTAGGAAGCTTACGAGCCCTGTAAATAGACCAAGAAAACTAAATTGCAGAATTCTTTGCACATCAATTTCTGATTTCACCCTTACTTTCCCGTTTTTCTATAGTTATTTTCATTTCCTGTTTAAGCCGATGGGAGGCTCGTTTTTCATTCCATACTCCAGACCCCATATAGAGTTTTAGAAATTCCCCTTGGGCCCTAAGTAAAAATCATCGTAGATGTGGAGTTAAAGAGTAGCAGCGTTTTTCGTACTCCCTTGAGGATATTTTTAGTACCATAGAGTTGGTAGACGTTTAGTCATTGATTTCAAGATTTTTCTTTAAATTTTCAAGCTATTTATTTACTTTGAATCAGCAGACACCGAAATACTCTCTACAAACAGTCCACCCCGAGCTCCCCGTAACGTCTTCGTATATTTGTTTACTCCTGATTTTGAATAATCCTTGCATTCTCGTTGTTCCTTTTTGTTATGTTTGTGCTACGTGTTCCTCTTGTGTTTTCTCGTACTCAAAAGTGCACCAACTTAAAAATGCAAATTGAAAACTAATCGGCATGAAGCAAAAATAAAAAACAACACCCAAAAATAAACAAAAGCAATACCAATTCCAAGGGGCAAGTACAACAGCAAAAAAAAAGCATAATCAAAAAAAATCCTAACACAAATAAAACCAAAATTTGAAATGCATCTGTATCGGCTCTAACCACTAAACTAAAAAAAACTTGCCTACCATTTGACTTGGAACAAATCGAAAATATATATATATACTTTTGCGCAAATAGTTAACTTTTCTTTTGATGAAAACTAAAACGTAAACTAAAAGTTTAAAACGAAACAAAAGAAATGAACTTGTTACTGAATATCCTTCCATTATTTCCAAAAACCACACTCCACACACACACACACACATACACCTCTCCGCCTATAAAACACACACACTCCAAACCGAAAAACACCACTGAACCACTCTGAACCACAACTGCTGCCACTTTTGCTATCCGCTGCCAACGCCCGCCAACCAATCAACTGATACCGATACCAAAACCGATACCGATGTGCGCTGCAACCACGAAAATCGATGCAACGAATCGATAAATATATACCACCTGATAATGATATAACCGATATGTAATGCCCATCCCAAAAACCAAAAACGCAATAATAATATTGAAATACCCAACGATGATCATCGAAATGCGGGCGTCGTGTTGTGTGTGTGTTTGCGATCGATGGCGATAATTGCGATGAATCCGATTGCTAATGCGATAATGCGATAATGCGATTACGATAACGATAACGATAACGAATCCGAATCCGATTGCAAGTCCAGGTGTGCCGCGAATTCCTGCGCGGCGCCTGCAAACGGGCGGAATCCGAGTGCCGGTTCGCCCATCCGCAGGAGAGCGTCGCCAGGCACGACGACGGCTCGATAACGGTTTGCATGGACGCCGTGAAGGGCAGGTGCGCACGCGACCCCTGCCGCTACTTCCATCCCCCCCTGCACCTACAGGCACAATTAAAAGCGGCCCAAACACGCGCCACCGCTGTCGCTGCTGCAGCTGCGGTATGGCTATATACTATATATTTTTCTATACTTTTCGAACCTTCTCCTTGCGTTTGCGTTCGATCAACCTTAGCCCAGTACTCTTGATTTCCTTGATTTTCGTTTGCGTTCTTTGTGCTGCCTAAATATCTTATGATTTCCTTTATTTTTCACTTACCTGCGAAAGTGTCTTTTATGTTTGAACATGTTTGCAATGGCGTTGACTTCACAAATTGCTTCTTAAAATATACCAACTGGTTCTTAGATTACTTTAGCCCAATCAATCTAATGGCGTACCTTTGAAAGCCAAATTTTAAAAAACAGTTTGTGAAGTAGGCGCCCAACTAGCGTTTTCTGTTTATGTTTTCCAAATAACCTCAACAGAGAAATACAACACAGAATTTTACTCCTGCACTAACACGCCACACGAATATATAAATATATTTCTATCTATATATATCCTGTATATATCTAGCGATAGATGACCTTAGGCCATCCTGCTTAGTTCAAAATAGTTGATTGAATTTGCTTTAATTTCATGCCAAATTCGCTGTTCGTTCGATTCCATTCGAAAATCTCTTCCCATATATACTCGTATATATATTTATATATACATATATGGATTTAAAGCAAATTTAATTAGAAGTTAATGCCGCATGCAAACAATTTAATTAACTTTATGCAAACACACACGCCCTCACATATAAAATCTGTTTACAAATAACTGTTATTCCCCCAAAAGCTGCAAAAATGTGTGTAATCGTACAATTTGTAAAACACAAATTATGCTATTTATTTATGCTGCATATTCAATGGCATTGCCAATGGTTATGCAATAAACGCTTTAGCGAAATTCGAACTCGTCCCCCGATAATATTGAAAAATTCAAATCAATGAACCAAATAATTCTGCCTAAAATCAACGTAGACTCGAAAGTTTCCATAAATCCTTTACAGATTCCGTGTTACTTATTAGTGATCATACTAGAATATAATATATATCTAGCAGTAATTATATGTAAAGGAACATAGGAAAAATTATCAATCAAAATCATTTCTAAATTATCTGAAATCACTTAGATCATTCTATAAAATGACAGTGACATATAGTACGAATAGCCCATAAAAATATTTGACTGAAGTCAGTGTAGAGGCAGCAAATATAATTTTATGGCTAATTGAAAACTCATTTGGCTGAACCTAATTATGTTTGTCCAAGGCAAATGAAATGTTCAACAATCATTTGGTGAGACACCATTCAAACAGGGTGTATAGCGTCATTTAGATGTTAATTTTGTTTGTAGATCAATAAATAATTATATTTTTTAAGTACGCGCCCCAGACAGAAACAAACAAACAGCGAGGGTAGATGGAAGAGCATAATCCTGCCAGGAGTTGGAAAAAATTGAGGGAATGGGTATGGGGCCGAAAATATCCGGCAACACGGGAAATATGTTGAAGCTCACATAAAACACGCCATAAATGTTGATTTTCGTTGGGCCAAAATTAACATTTATTACAACGCGTTAAAACTTTGAGCACGCAGGAGCAGGTCGAGCAGGGAAAATGCGGAGGAAAAGCGGGAAAGCAGGAAAGCGGGAAAGCGGAAAAGCGAGGCAGCCGGGCCAACACATGCACATATGGGCACGTACGTGGTACGTATCCGTGTTTCCCGGCTGCGTGTCCTATGCGCCGTACTTAATTCGCGACTTAATTGCTTTCTGCTGGAAATTTATTTGACGCAACAAACAACAACGTTGTCCTTGTTGGCCAGGCTGGAATCGCGAGTGGAAGAGACGGGATACGGAGGGATACGGAGGGGCGGTGAAAATGACACACATAATTGCAGCATAATATCGCATAAAGTGAAAAATTGTTGCAGCATTTTAGGCGTAATTCAATCGAGGCTCTCCTCGTCGAGCGGAAGGGCAGGACAAACGTGATTATTGTATGAAAATGTCCTTTGATACGTTCCCGAAAGCACACACCATCCAGGCACATATGCTGACATACCCTCCCATCCATTCTGCCACTTTCTGAGCCGATAATTGTATTTATGGGTGCTCGTTTAATGTGATTACAGGCCTGGTAAAAATGGGAATTAAACGCTTACCTTATTGCACCTGTCTGCCATGTTTTTTTATCGTGTGTTATTTTGATCTGCCGCAAAATCAAATTTAACCGTGGGTTCCCTATAGAAGTATAGAATACATTATGGACGGCATAGTTAGTTCATTAGTTATCTAATAATTACCAAATATACACGACCGATGCAATGCGGCTGTTTCATTTCAGAACCATTTCCAATTCTTTTAATACATCTCATTGTTAAATACCCTTACGTAGACCTGTTCAAGGTAACATATCTTATAGCCTTATATTATATTCTCTGTATAAACAAAAAAATTGCTCAGCATGCTAAGTAAATTGATTTCATCGAACTATAATCGTTGTACTTTGGTCGATACTTTGGTCGAAGTGCGACTTTATAGAACTCCAATATCTATAATATACTCACCCTAAGTGTACCCTTCAAAATCCACATACTGTTAGCTGATTATCCCCGCCCCTTATCGAGTTATTTATTGTTATATATACTTACATATATATCCAAATCTAGCCAACAGACGCTACAAAACCACACCACAAAAACACAACAATTTTCCTCTGCATATATGATTTTCCTATATTATTTCCCTGTGTTATTGTTGCTGTCGTTGATAAGCGTTTAAGTTTTGTTTATTATGATTGCTGTTTGGCATTCTGGGTCACCAAAACGTCCCCCATATGTCAGCAAGCAAAGAGGTTAAAAAAAGGCCCATATCGATGGGGGATCTCCCCTCGACGTCGATGGCGAATATGCCACCTGCCGCAACGAACGACCACACAGAACTATAATCCCGGCATGTAAGCGTGACAAGAGCATCTCGGCCAAGAAAAAAGGCCGGAGGAAAAGTGAAATTGAAGGGGAATCGTTTGACGGCAGGACAGCAGGACAGCAGGACGGAAGACCCCCTCTTTTTTCTCACCGAGCTGACCAAAAATGTAAATGTCAACCTGTACAGGGCACAGATACGTGTACGTATACGGACACAGTAACGGACAAGGATACGGACACGGACATGGACGACATGGATTAGTCCGGGCCGGATAACGTTTGAACCGGAAAATTAACTAAAAGCAGAGATTTCCATGCCAATGAATTGTCCAGCGGAGTCTGCTGGGCCAGCCCGCTGGTTTTTTATGGACTCGACCCCGATACACACATGCAGCCCGGGATATACGTATGTAGATATGGCGAACACCCCACGATGTTGTCGCGCCCAAGCGAATTAATCCATTTGTAGCATTCATGGCCAGTGACACTAGCCCAGCAAAAAAATGCGGTCGAAAAAACGAAGGAGTCGGTTCAACTGGCCGGCTCTTTTGCACCTCAGACTATCTGTCTCTTTCGCTGCCTCTCCATTTAAATGCAAATTTGTGCACTCTTTCATGCGGCCTGCGCCCAAATGTATGCTAAGTTTTTTGCCAGTGTCCTGCTGCCGTATTTGGTTTATTTTTTTATTTTTATTTTGTGGTTCTTGGTTATTAGGCACACATGAGTCCACTTTCGTGGCAAAAGGGGCGAAAATCGGGCAAGAGCTGAATCCAATTGCGGTGTTAAACGCATTAGCATTGGGCTGTGCACGAAAATTTATGGGAACGGAAATTGGGGTCGCAACTTTGCCGAGGATTTAAAAGTGAGCACTGGGGTATATGATATGGCTTAAAACCCAAACTGGGTTACGCTGCCAGAACTCTAGTGTACAAAGTATTCCGATATCGAACCCAATACCAATTATTCAAAAACCGAGCTCTGTAATTTACATTACCCTTGAGTTGCACTAGCTATGAATGAGCAGCAGCAACGATACATCGGTAGGTACATATACGTGATATATAACATGTGCCCTGAAATAAAAACCCACAAATGCGAATGTGTATTGTCAAAATTGCCGAATCACTTGCAGATACGAGTGATTTTGTTGGCAACCCATTCCATATGCCATTCCTTAAGATAGATCGTAAGCAACCAATTAGTTTATGTATTTAAGAAAACAGGTATTTTACACTTTGCTGGCTTTCGCAAGCTTTTTTGAAACGATTCTCTAACCAAAAAGGCTTTTAACTCACACAAAACTAACATGATTTCCGCTTCTTTCCGAATAAACCAATGAATATTAATCGAAATTCTTAACCTTTAGTTGGTATGAGTAACACCTTTTTAAGGCTCTTTCAATATCAAATGGAAATCGTGTTTATTTGGATTACCGTTGATTTCTACTTGATTTATTCATATTTACTCTCTATACAAATATAATAATCTTTATATATGTACGATTTGATTTTTTTCTATTTATTTACTTATCGATATCAAAACACTTCCGTACTCTTCTACTATTATGTATTTTTCATCTGTTCGCCTGTGCCAACACAAATACAAACACACCCGCACACACACACACACACTGTAACTGCTTCTACGATGGATGGTACGAATACAATCACAAAAACACTCATACACTTGTGCACCTGAAAACCTGAATATAAAAACGAACGAAAAATCTAAAAATGAACTCAAACAAAATTAAATATTCCCCTGCAATTTGTGCTGGAAAAAAAATTCGAATTTGGACTCAATATTTAAATATTCATGGAAATCGCACAAAAAATGAACAAAAAAATTCAATTGAAAATGACAACACCGCTGCCGCTTAAATAATTCAAATTGGAATCCCTCAACTATTTAATGGACACACCATTTAAATGCTTGTATATTTTAATAATTTTGCGTATTTCCCGCTCCCGACTCGTAAAAAAAAAAATTCAAATTTTCAAAAATGTTTGACACACGCACGCACACACACACACACACACACACAGACCTCACCTCTTGCGGCACACCATCACCAGCAACAACAACAATTGCAACACCAGCTGAACAACATCAACAACAACAACAACCACAGCACCGCTGGCGCAGCAGCCACCTCGACAACAGCAACAACAACCACAAACAACGCCGCCGCCGCTGCTGCCGCCGCCGCCGCCGCTGCCGCCGTCATGGGCCATCACACACTGGAGTTGGGCAAGAAGCGGGCGGCGGACACGACCGACATGTTTCCACTGGTATTTTTCTGTTCTTTTCCTTCACCTTGTGTTTTTGCGTTTTTTGAATTGTTCCATATTTGGATTTTTGCATTTTTGGTTTTCCCACTCAATTTCCAACTTTAGTTTGTTCCCCCATTCCTTTCAAATTCTAACTAATTTTGCCTTGGCTCTGAAAATGTCTCATTTTTGTTGCATGCTTTTAGGCGTCCGAAGGATCTGCGCTATAAGAACCTATTTTTAAGTAGACCTTGTTAAGTACAGTTGAAGAGCTGCTTTGGTGTGCAGGAAAATAGGAAAAGCAGCAAAGATGCATTAAAAGAATTACTAACGAACTAATCAAATAATATTAAAGAGTTTTCTGAAATACAAATCACATTTTTAAAAAGTATTTTTGTGAATATGCTCCACAATGCTTCACCAAAACTGATTCCAAACTGGTCAAGCCTAACCACTTAGCGTATGAACCCTCCGTTAAAAACCCCAGTAACGTGTGACCCACGAAGCGAAATTCCCTCGGTTTTCACCTAACCAACCACCCAACCTTAGTTATTCCACCACTCAATCACTCACGTGCCCACCCACCCACTCAGTTAGTCAGTCAGATGCACATCAAAGTGCCATCAATTAACGTTTATCATCAGCATGGCCAGGTCGGCTGGGGATGCAACCCCGACATTTAATTTACAAAATGAAGTCATTATCCGATGTATCAAAAGAGCAAACACTCGCCAAGACACACACTCGCACACAGCCACACTAATCAATACAGACACACCCGCGCACACACACAAACACACTTTTTGCAATGGCCAGAGCGAGTTTAACCAATTACACGTGGCATATGATAAATCACAATCACAGCACGAGCACATTTGCGCTGCCAAGTGTTAATTAAAATGATTTAACCGATAATTGCCAAGGCTGTAGCTATGTATCTGTATCTGCAACTGTAACTGTAGCTGTACGAGTATCTGTAGCTTTACCTTTAGCGGTAACTGTAAGTTTCCTTCTTTCGATTTCGATTTCGCTTTCGCCTCTGCCGCTGCCGCTGTCGCTGCCACTGATTGCATTCGCAAGCTTAATTGTTTAAGTGCTTTTCCTGGTTAATTAGCTGAACATGCAGCACCTGCAGCCTGCAGACTTTGTTTGTCCCGCCCCCTTTTCCATTCACATTACGCCCATCACTGCCATCACAGCCATCACGCCCACACATCACATCACATTGCCACTTATTAGGACTAAGTATCTGTGTACCCGTTTATGTATATATGTATCTGATTAATGCCATAACGCCACTGAACTGTGCCCTGGATATATCCACTAATTTCATTTGTGTTCTTCTCTCCTCTTCATTTGCTCTTCTTCGATTCCATAAACTCTTGCGTTCGTTTCAAAACACCACCTATCTCACCTATGTCTCTCGATATCGAACATAATAAATGCGAAATGTGTGTGCTAACCCCGATCCGATCCGATCTGATCATCAATCAAACAATGATAACCCAACAATCAACTACAAATCATACACTAACCGCATAATCAACAACAATCGATAAATGCCAATAAAGATGGATGTTAAAACGGTTGGTTCATTTTACTATGAAAACTTCGTAAGTACTCCAAACTGAATGACAATCGCCACCTACAGTAGTCCGCCTTGAAACCGATCTTCAACTATCTATACACTATAAAGACTACAGCCTTAATTACAATATCAAGCGATAAATATATATACACATCCAGACATGCTACTAACCAGATAACTTTCGATGAACGCCGCATGCATTCAAAATCCATTGAAAACGCTCAATGAGTCGAGGACATTGGTCTGCTTCTTATAAAATCATATAATTTTGAATAAATAATCAACTATTAATGGGGACTTATTAATCCTATCAAAGATATCAAAGCTTATATGCACACCAAAAAAATATCAAACCGATCGGTTAAATATCACAGAAATAAATTTAATAAATCAATAACACCGAAAGCAAATTCATTTCACTCAAATGTAAACTGCGTACGCTTTTCCCAATTTTCCACCGAACTGCACGCACTTTCGATTTGTTCAGTTGCAAACTACGTATAGTCAGCTTTTGTTTAGATTTCCATTTAGTTTTCCTTTTCATTCAGTTGAAAGAAATGTATCTTTTCAATTTAAATATGATTTGGTAACTCCCACCTCAAACGACTAGAAATTGGCGAAAAAAGCAAGCAAAGCGAAAAAATAAAAAAATAAATAAGAAATTCAAAATTAACCAAAAGCAAGCTCGTTTGTAAGCAATTGTTATAGTGTTTATGGTTAACAGTAGGCTAAGATGAGAGCTAGATGCGCCTCCTGCGATATATGATGACTAATGTATATTCTCCATCTCTCTCTATTTCCTCCCCACCACATGCTACCCGTCTCTTTCGCGGCTAACAGCAATTCTCTGGCATGGTACCGTTCAAACGTCCAGCTGCCGAAAAGTCTGGCATTCCAGTTTATCAGCCCGGTGCGACCGCCTATCAGCAGCTAATGCAGCCCTACGTGCCAGTCTCATGTGAGTATCCCCAACAACAACAACAACCACAACAACAACAACAACATCAACAACAACAACAACAACAAAATGTACTACTACAACAACAACAACAACAACTACAATTAAGTAGCGTCATAACAACAACAAGTACAACAGCAACAGCCAGTAACAATATGATTAATAATATTAATAATAAAAGTATCATAAACGCTGTAATTGCTACTACCAATATACCATCATCAGCAATAGCAGCAACAACAGCATCATTATCATCACTATCAGCGTTGGCCACACCAACAACAACAACAACATCAACAACAACAACAACAGCCATTACTAATCCTAACGACAGTGATAACGATTCCGATCGCAATCAAGACCAAGACAAAAGTCACGATAGTGCTGCTGCTGATGGTGAAGCTGATAATGCCGATCGCAACGATGCCATTGATCAAGCCATCAATCAAGACAATAGTGACCAAGTGAATCCGAATCCGAATCTGAATCTGAATCCGCATCAGAATCAGCATCCGAACCAAATTTCAAGTCCCGCTCAAGATTGTAATACAACACGAACAATCTCACCAAACCCCCCAGACACAGCAGCAACAGCTGCCACTGCAACAGAAACAGACACACTAGATACAGACTCTGCAGCAGCAGCAGCAGCAGCATCTGCCACGCCCCCCAGTGGCGACACACCGCCCCCTTGCCCCCGCTCGCCCCAAGGCGACAGTCTTCTACCCCTGCCCAACGGCCTGGGCGATAATAACAATTACTTGTCCTATATCAACAACAATCTGAACAATGGCCAGCTCAAGGCGGCTAATCCCGAAGAATTGAACGGCGGCGACTTAGAGAGTAGCAGCAATAGCGCAGCAGCAGCAGCAGCTTCCGCATCACGCAACTATGCCAAGCAAAATGGCGAGGGTTATTCGAGGTATACGGCCAATGGTCACAGCACCGGCATCCTGCCAACACCCACCACTTCTGCTCCGGCAGTCTCCTACCAGGTCCAGGCCCAGGCCCAGGCTCAAGCTCAGGTTCAGGCCCAGGCGCAGGCGCAGGCCCAAGCTCAGGCTCAGGCTCAGGCTCAGCAGCGCATCAACTATGCCATGTCCGCCTACAACTACGGCAATCTGTACTCCCACTACGCAGCAGCCACCTCTGCCATGGTGAGTCTGCCCAGCAGCACCCCCTCCTACGCCCAGGCTCAAATGCAGCAGCAGCAGCAGCACCAGCAGCAACAGGCCCAGGTTCAGGCCCAAGCTCAGGCCCAGGCGCAAGCCCAGGCTGCCTATGCCCAGCAGGCCTACGCCGCCTATGCTGCAGTGGCCGGTTTGGCACCTCAGGCCACCGCTGCCAGTGGCTACTACACCGATCCGGCTGCCCTGGCCAAGGAGGTGGCCCAGAAGAACTACGCCATGAAGGTGGCCAGTGCGGGCTCCAAGCCGGGTGTCTCCTCGGCGGCCGCCGCCTACACCGGCTTGACCCTCAACAAGAGCTATGTGGCCGCAGCAGCTGGTGCGCAGCCGGTTCAGGCCGCCCAGCCTCAGGCCGTTTCCATGGCCACATTACTGCAAATGCAGGCGCAGGCACAGGCCCAGGCGCAGGCACAAGTTCAGGCTCAGGCCCAGGCTCAAGCCCAGGCTCAGGCCCAAATGCGCCAGTTGGGATCCCTGCCCAGTTCAGGACTAACGACTCCTGTGCCCGGCACCCCAGTGCGTGCAGCTCCAGGCGGAGCAGTGGGTGCTAGTCAGTATCAATCGGCTGCTTTGCTGAGAGCACCCTCACCCATGCCATATGCGCAGGCACAGAGCTACTTCTATCCCGGAATGATGCCCACCGCAGCCTATGCCATGCCCCAAACTCAGGCTGCTGCTGCGCAGCAATATGCAGCTGCAGCAGCAGCGGCCGCAGCCGCTCAGGCGGGAACTCCAGGCAGTGCCATGGTCCTAAATCCGTACAAAAAGATGAAGACCTCCTAAGAGCCAGGGCGATAACAAACTGAAAGTCCAAACACAACTGTACTTAATGCACCAAGCCATCTGGCCGATGGAAAAGTCACACCATTTTAGATATATAGATATAAACACATCGAAGACGTAAGAATATGTGCCTCAGTTTTCTTCGAAAGGACATGTAGAGAGACGCGTTTAGATCTTAGTTGTACCATAGGCCTCATAGCGTTAGAAAACCGAACCATGACACGACAACTAAAATCAGACAGAAAGCGAAACAGATCGAAGATCATAGCTTACTAACACGAATGCCCAAAACTTGCTGACGAGAAATCGATAATTTGCCATTAAGTTATTTGACAAACGAAACATAACCTCACTGTGACTCAAAAGTGTTGCCATTTTCGCTAATGAATCGAAAAACCGAGCTTTTAAAGCACAAGCGAACGGAAGAGAAACAGATGTTAGATTATAGTAATACTTAAGTTCCTTTTCGGATAGCTCTTAGTCAACTCTAGTTTATAGGAAGCGGTCACACAAAACGGTTAGAAAAAACTTAAAACAGGGGCGAGCCAGAGAGAGAAACGAAGAACTGTGATAGCGAAAAAGCTTTGAGGGATCAAAAACATAAAGCCAGGAAGGAATTAAACAAAGGAAAAACCTCTAATGCTGCTGCCGATGCTGGGTACAGTTGTGTATGCTTGTTGCTAGCTGCGGGTGCTTGATCCCATATCGCCGTCCCTGTCTCCCACATGCGGTAATTCGAATAGCTGTCCTGCTCTCGCCCCCGCCCATCATTCATTTTTCGCGCTCTCTCTCTATCTAACTCCCTATCGCTGTTTCCTAATGTTTCCTAACTAGCTAGATAGCTAGCGTGAATGCTGTTGTAATTGTTTAAAATTGTTGAGCAACGATTATTGCGTAACGAATATTGTCTAGTTTATATAGAATACTTATACGATATACAAATACATATAAACCTAGCTGTACGTGCTGTATGCTGCTACCCATATTCGATACAATATATACGCCCACACTATGTACTCTAACACACGCTCATCCCCCACTAGTACACAAAGAAAAAAAGGCATTAAAATGACCAGGATCAATCTGTAAATCGTATGTCTAGCTTACTAATCAGATAATACAGTACAGTCACCACTCACGATCACGTCTCTCTATCTGTTTCACTCACACACCAAATACCCATACACTTTTCAGACTCTTAAGCCAGCAAAATTAATTTATGTTAATGTTATGTTATCGAGATTTAAATTTGATGTGTTGACCAGAACTATGTAAACCCTTTTGATTTTCAACGACTATAGCCACATCCTGATTTCATTCTTCATCTGTCTCTTAACAACTATCACCCACTCTATCGATGTATTATAAATGTTTTCCTTTTTGTAATGAAATTGTTAAGAAAAGAATAAAATCATTGACAAACAGAACTAAGTTTTTAATGTTAGATCTCGTGTGATTATCAGTTTTTGCTTTACGTTCATTTCTATTTAATTTTTATGTTGATATTTATGTACTTTTTGTACTTATAAACCAGTTTTTAGTGTAGTTTTTATATAATTTTAAACGTGTGTTCCCGATTGAAAAATATTTGAGAAGAACCTCCAAAGCAACAATACAAATTTGCCACTGACTTGCGCACCTTAAGTTTTAGACTCCCCGCCTACACCCCGCACCCGCTAAAACTCCTCATCCGAGAACATCCTACACACATTACTATTGGATATATACGATAATCTCTGTAAAATTGTTTTAAATTAAAGTACTTCTAATGTCCTACAACGATTTGATGTTTGCCACTAATTCTTATCCTAATTCTAATCCTAATTCTAGTTTAGTTTCGATAGTTTTTATTAATGTTTTACTTAAAATACAGTGTGTTTTTCTAAATATATAGTTTACAAAAAAAAAAAACAAATATATATAAATATCATATTGAGTGTTGGTATTTTACTTTATTTTATTTACTTATTCGGTATTCACTTGATATATGTTTTCCGTTGTGCCGCTTTTACATCTCACCTCTGACTTAAACGTACTCCTTTGATATATAGACATATGAAATACCGATCCATAAAAACACTAGCTTTGCCGAGCGCTTTTGGGCAGAGCAGCACTCTATCCCTACAAATCTCTTTAAACCCTATACCTTTAAAACCCTACCCCCCTAGCTTGAAAATTTTTATTATTTAAGATTAAAATTAAGACTGTTTCTTTCATTCGCGCATTCCACGCAATCTTCTTCACACAGACACATCCACATTTTAGGACTGCCTGACTCCTTAACCTCGGTCTGCTTCCCCTATTATTGCTTTTACTCCAAAATAAAAGATCTTTCTCCCTCCGTAAATCCATTTAACCTATATATGTTTTAGCTCTTAGAATAATGGCAAGCAAAATGAGTACGCTAACGGTAGAGAACTAGTTGTAAAATCTGAATATACCATTTATCTAAATATACCTATCTGCCTATGGCCAGCAAATGCTTGGCTTACTCTATATAATCAATAAGAAATAAGCTTACTAAACATGGCAGCAGAATACAATATCGATTCGACGTATACCTATACATATATATAATACTAATACGTATAGCAAGCTACACCAGATTAAAGTATACCTATATTCATCATATATCTCAATGTCTTGCCTAAAAGTATGGAAGCATTATCTTTATGTGTCGTATGGTTAATTTTTTCGTTAACAACGTAGAACTGTTGCCGTTGGCCCATAATTTCAGCAAGAGAAAACTTAGCGAAAATGTTCAGAAAACGCTCTCAAACTAACTAAGAACTAAAGCAAAACAAAAAATCTAAAAGTAAAACAAAACACCACTCACCACTGCATGGCGCCAAAATCTAACTAACTTGCATTTAAGTCCTAAGAGCTCATATTTTATTCCGCTTTTTCAACCTTTGCAATGCACCAGAAACACAGCAACAGACAAAAAACAGTATGTTAACATTACCGAGCAACAATATAGCAATGAATTGTCAGTTGACACTAGGATAACAATGAGTTAGGCTGATTTTTAATATACAAAGGAATAAATGAAATATAACCACATAGAAAACCACAGTCCATTCCAATATAGTTAATTGGGTTTTCAGGCCTTGTTCAATAAATAGAAGTACAGTACCGTCCAATAGAAACTATAGTTTAGTGGAATCCACATAGTTGCCTCCTTTTAATTTGTAGCCAAACCACCCGAAGTCTCACACACATTACACTGAGAGAAACCAATTTAAATTAGGATTTCATTTCGTGCTTACTAGCATCGACGATAAGTAAGCGAAACGTATGGCAAATCGATTGCATGTCAAATAAGAGAGTTGGTAACAGTGCAAGAATGTCGAAGCTAAAATTATTCATAACATCTAAATATATATGTCGAAATATATATCTATACACACATCTATACACAAGCAAAGACACTACTGAATATGTTATATCTGTGCTAACATTAGTCGTATTATTATTATAAAGACAAACAAAATATATTGAAATTATATTATATACGTTTTATTGTAAAAACCGTAAAACAACTTGTTGGCTTCTTTTACTCGAACCTTGGAAAGTGATCAAACCAAAACTAACATTCTCTCTTTCTCACCCACTACTAATCCATAAACAACAGTTTGCTGTGCGTTGTCTCTTTCTCTCTCTCTATTTGTTGGCTGTTCTACATGAATACTTTTTATATTTATTCTTATTTGGTATATTTATGATTTTACATCTAGGTTAATCTACTCATTTTGCTGAATATTTTAGTTAAATCAAGCTTTTTCGATCTACTTTTGCTTTTTTTTATAATTAAGAACCTCAGTGGTAACTGTTTAGGCGTACGTAAAATTCAATGTGTCCTATGCTCGACTAAAACTCTTTTGATTTCCTCACACACTTCACATAGACACACCCGATTTTCTTAAGTAGAAATCTCAATACACTTGGCTTGCTGGATTATCCAGAGATATATTACTGTATTGTTTGGCTAAAGCTGTTCTTGTGTATGGAATATTATATATATATATGTCAATATTAAATATGTATACCCACTAGAGTTAAGCGCTTTTTGTAATGTTTTCAAAGAAAATGCTTCGATTCATTTTAAGTTTTATGCGACAAATTTGCTCTATTTTAATCTAAGACTCTCTTTCAAGCAAGCAACTTTATATATCTATCTTCTAGATGTAACTCTCACAACCCTAAGAATTTCAGTCTTACTATAACTCTTTCACTAGCATGATCCTTGAATCAGTCAGTCCTCCGATGTAATACCTATCCGTTCTCAACTTGAAGCTTTTCTTTGACTTCATTACAAAAAGTAAGGGCGTCGCCGAAGAAACAGTAATGTTGTCTCTTTCAAACGAACACTATACCCCACCCTTTCTTCTGCCTAATGAAAGCGCTCGTTTTTTCCCTTTTATGGGGAAATTGTCGATGGAAAGTACGCTAGTGTGTGATCTGATCATAAAATTTATTTTGAGTTACATTCATTTAGTTAAACTTTATTGTATTCACTTTGATTTAATATCATTCTACATATTTTGTGAGATCTTTCGATTGGAGCGTAATTTGTAATTTTCAGCATGTGCTCAATGAAACAGAACTTTTTTGTAGCAAGTATTCCGATATGACTATGAGTATGAATATCAAGCAGTGACGTTGCAAGTGGCTGTCTCTTTCTACCCTCTATATATGTATCTCTCTCGCTCGCTCTCGAGACCGATATTACTACTCGTACATTGCGTTTGTTCACATACATATATAACTCGTGTATGGCTTCTGAGGCATGTGGTATGATGGTAAAGCTATATGAAAGCACTTCTAAGGTAAGCTGGTGCACCGCCCCAATATCCGAGCTTTTGTTTACTCCCATAACGGTATACTTATGATTATATCTGAAGACTGATACCTGCTATATAGATGCTAAGTATGTCTAATGCTCACCATTATTCGTTTTGGTAGACTCGTTTGTCGTTTAACCGCTTTAATCGGAGGAGCTAAGGAAGATCGGAGATCGAATTTATCGGAGATCGAGTTATTGGTTCCTGTTCGATCGGGCAATCGATCTGCTTAGCCCACCGATACACCCATACACACATACAATACACTTGTGGCAGTAAATGTTATTAACATGACTTCTTTTTTGTTTCTTTTCAAACGAATTGTTTCTTTCTTTTTCGTAACAGCAGGATAACAAAAAGATCCGCAATGTAAAATGTTTGACTGTTTGCTGAACATAGGGGAGACTATACTCCACATGATACTTAACAAACACGCACACACCCACACGATACACACACACACACACACACTACTATATATACACCCACACTTAGTTAGCAAGCTTGTAGTGCGAGATGCTTTCTAGGTGAAGTTGCTTTTGAAGGCACTGCGAAACGCTTGAGAACGAGAACATCTAAAACCAAATAGAAAACTGCTTCAAGTATTCCTGCGCTGGAAGAACCAGAGTCTATAGCCGAGTCACACACATACTACACTACAAAAAAAACCCACACACCACCCCAAAAAATAAAACAAACACTACAACTGCGAGGCAAACTGGTAAACCCAAAGAATTTAGTGAAAGTTTTCTTGCGTTCCCTTTGAAATTTGAAACTGCTATGCATACCCAATATATATTCGTACCGTTTCTATCTACCATATTTGATTGACTATTGCAGGCTTGTTTGTATGTATGTAGTAAGTATTTGCCTTGTTTCTGTGTGATGTCCTGTGAGGAGCGATTCTCATACCCCGCTTTAAAACCGAACCGAGCTTACCCACGTTTTTTTCTCGTTTACAGCATTTACGGCTGACGCAGTAACAAGTTTGAAATGCGCTTCAAAAATTGTGAATAGCTGCTGAGCTGCTGCGTTTTAATTTGTTTTCCTACTTAATACGCTTTTGATTTGATAACTCATCATTTCTTCTTCTGCATTTTTCAGTTTGCCGCTTAGCCTGCGCTTCGTTGCCGTTTTTATTTCTAGTATCACATAATCCCCTTTTATTTGCAGCGTCAACTAACCGCCCAAGCCCCCAAAAAAGTATGCTACTCTTTTATAATTTGCTAATTTGCCCGCTCCCGCTGCCAAACCCAGCTTGAAAGCCAAACGAAACCAAAAAACAAACTGAACCGAACCCGAACTAATCTACGATAGGTTTAAGTGCGTTTTGCCTTTTTGCATATGCGAACAACAAAGCCGGAGATCCGAAAAAACTTTTCCGCCAGCAACAAGTTAATTACACGTGGGAGGGCAGAAAGCCGTAATTACAACACGAAAACATTGTTATTTCAGTGGGGGCGGTGGCGCCACGGAGGGCGTGGTGTCACACATTTACATTTATTAACTCGTGTCCCGTGTGGCCCGCAAAACTTTATTTTTACCTCTTTGCCACAATGTATTTTTTCATTCGCGGCTTTTGCACTGCGCCGCATTTGCATAATTCGAAATCAAGGGCCGTTAACGAGTTGGAAGATGGAATGAAATCCGAGCTACATGCGGAATCATTTGATTTTGTTGCTAGTCGAGTTGTTTTTCGCATATGCAGCTACGCTTAATTTTAAGTCTTTAATGCAATCTAATTTGTTTTCATTTATGCGATGGATTTACGAACAACATAATTATTTCATCTAATTTTTCTACCTTTTTTACATGCTAACACACATGCGCAAAAATCAACAATGATATATTAAACCAAAATAAAATGACAACAATGTTCTCACCATTTGCATGCAACTCAAACAAAAACGAAACCAAATGTTTATATCTATTTAATTTATGAATAACAACAATCACGCACGGATTTGGAACGAAAAAAACAAACGCTGCATGGAAAATCAACAAAACCCGAAATTAAAAAAAACTATTATGTGTATTTTTGTGTTCACACATATTCCCCATCTTTTGTTGTCACCAAATCACACTCACCCCCCCACCCACATATGTCTATAATAATATTTCTCTCTCTCTCATAACGCATATTTGATTTGAGGCATGCTTTTCGGCTTTTTGGCCAAATAAATATGGCCTCGTGTAGCGAATCCGAAAATACCCTTGAACGCCTCCTGTGTCATCTACACGGATGCCAGTGGCCAGGTACAGTCAGCCCTGGCTATGGGCGCCACACCGAACCTTCCTGCATGAGCGCTTGCTAAGTTCATTCCCTTGACCCCTCAACGATCCCAAAGTGAAAATGAAACACAACCAGAGAAGCAGAGAACCAGAGAGCAGCAAGTATTCGCTGAGACATCTGTTTTGCCCTTGTAAAATTGTGCACCCGGAGTTTGGAGGGACCTGTTGTGTGGGTGGGTCATTCAGTTAATCAAATTAAATGCGCTGCCGCTCCCCAGACAAGAATCAACAATCAAACAGGCAAACAAACAAATAAACACAAACAGGGCCAAAGGCGCGGCGATGACGTTGACTTGGTGATGTCAGGAGCCTCGGGCTTTAATATGAACTACCATATATACATATACTGTATGTCGTGAGACATGAGCTGGACACACCTCGGGGTGTCATAGCTGTTAGCAGTTGTTTGTTCTCCAAACACCCAACACCCACAAACACACTCACACACTCGCACACACACTCACGCCACACCCACACACACCCAGCAGAGATGTTACTATATATAAAACTGTGTATTCTCTATATATATTTCGATATCGTAGCCCAACCGGAGAGGGGCCCCCTGTACACTCAGTGTCCGATGCTAGTGAACGGCACCTTTTACATAATTAGGTATGCAGAGGTCGACTCCCTGATATCCCCGTTTCTTTATCCTGCGGCGAGCTTCCTGGCCGATTTCGTTGTGCTTAGCTTTGCCTTAGCTTCAGCTTTTCGTGTGCTTCAGTTTGGCGACTCGAGCGGCAAGGATCGAAGAGCTTCGTGGCCTTAACTTTGAGTTTAGCTTGGCAGCTTTTGATTTCGCCCCCTCCAACTTTGGTTTCCGTGTCGCACTCGTAGGGCCACGTCAAATGAAATAAAAATGAGGCCTCGATATGATGGTAACGACACTAACCCCACCTTTACGATCTCTCTTTCTCTTCTCTCTTCTCTTTTCTTATATTTCTAGTGCCGCCTATTAGGATATGTAATTGTTACCGCCTAGTACCGCCCCAATAGAACCTAAGAAAGAAAAGCAATCAGACTGATCAGATCAGAGGTCAGAGGTCAGAGGTCAGAGGTCAGAGATCAGAGCATTTTGAGTTCCCTAACAGACAGACATACACATATGAGTGAGTCCATCTTCAGATAGCTCTTTGAGGCGCCTCGCTTTCGAAGCTTTATTAGCTTTCTTGGCCCAGTTTCTGTTGACCGAATACTTGCTGCTTCCACGGTGTGTTTTATTTCACGGCAAACTTTATTTCTCAGCTATGCGTTTAAGTTACACACACACAAAATATAACCCCGCAGTCCCCCAATCAAAAGACGAGTACAAGACCGGCAAAAACTATTTCGAGGAACACACTGTGATTA